GCCCAAAGCCCTTATCACTACGACCAGCTGAAGAGGTAAGAGTCAATTTTACACTCTACCATGATTGTTTTACTCTTTTCTGCTTAGGATCTTTACCGTCATGGGCTACCCGCAAGAAAATGAATGGTCAGATTTCAAGAAGATGCCTGACTATCACAAACTCCAATCGGATATTAAGTCCTCTCAGTGCGTCTGCACTGCACACTATTCTCAGATAGAGGTCTCAGCTCTGATTTTTCAGAACCTCCTTCCCAAACTGCAGCATGACGCGGTACATGGAAAAACACAAAATAGAGTCTGATTCTCCGCAGTTCAAGTTGTTGGTGAAGCTATTGACTATGGATCCCAACAAGCGGATTTCTTGTAAGGAAGCTATGGAGGAACCATACTTCAAGGTAATGTATAATAATTTTCGAGACTTTTCCAATTTTTACATTTTGTCGTCTAATCTCCTTATATTGTGTCCAGATGGATCCGAAACCTACTGAGGACGTTTTTTACAAGTTTGATATACCGTATCCGAAGCGCGAATCGTTGCCGGATGCGGATATCAAGAAATCCTTGGCGATGAACATTGTCGATGATCAGAATCAGCAGGCAACCAACCCACAGGCTCGTGACTCTAGATTTTTATATGATCAACTGGTAATCGTTAAAATTTTCCTGTTAGGTCAGCCAAAATATGAATCAGCAGCTGGATTCTGAGCCCGTAAATAAAAGGCTACGTATGGGTGGCCAGCAGGTAAGAGTGGTCTTTTGCTTGGAACATAAAATTACTCCCTATTTGTAGATGAATGCCAATAGTCAACCCATGTTCCCCAGTGGAGAATTCCATCAGCCTATGCAAACACAACATATGATTTCTCAATCGAGTAAGTCACATTTTTTGTCTAAGCTTTTTTCTTGAGTAAAATTTCGTTGCATTTCAATCATTTTCTGCTTGCAGTGGATATGGGTGGAATGATGAATCAGCCTCAGCAACAGTACCAACAACCTCCTATATTTGCGGTAAAGTTCTTTTTTCATAAACTCAATGGCTTTCCTGCAAGATCATTTTTGCAGAGTCAACCCATGCCCACATCAATGCCAGTGACTCAACAACAAATGGGTATGATGCAAGGTGGGCAGCAGTTCCCACATCAAAGTATGGGTGAGGGTGAATATCTATAATCTAAGCTCAATGTATGAAACTGCATTTCCTCTATCTAGGAATGATGCAAGGACAGCCGATGATCATGCGACAGCAGATGCCGCCATCATATCAGCAACACCCTCAGGGAATGATGCAGCAGTCAGGAGGTGAGCTGCATTCTGAGTTTTGAGTCTTGTTTTAATACTATTTTCCTTCCGTTTTTACTAATTATCAATCACCTGCCATGTTTTGGCACTTGTTAGACTGCGCTCAGAAGCGGCCATATACCTTTTTGGGCCATAGGTTTCCTGCAAAGGTTGCTGAGGTTGGC